GAGAGAGAAAGGTGCTGAATGAAGTGTATCTATGCTCCATTTACATTACGGACTTTTGTTCTGATCTTTGTATTGTTTGCTTGCTTTTGCAGAAAGAGTACCTTGAACGGGAGATGGAGAAGAGAATTGTACGCACCAATCCATTGGGGAAAGACAGAAACTGTAACAGGTATTGGTTTTTCCGACGTGAAGGAAAAGTATTTGTTGAGAGTACTGACTCCATGCAGTGGGGTTATTACGAGACTAAGGAAGAGGTAATAATTTGTAGTCGCTCTGTTTCGATTTTTTCTAGTTTTGATTTATATTATTTTGATATAAATTTTCCTTTTTTGCTCAACATAGCTTGATGCTTTAATTGGATCGTTGAATCCAAAGGGTGAGAGGGAAAGGGCTCTTAAAAAGCAGCTAGAGAAAAACTACAACAAAATAAAGTAAGTTATTCTTGAACTTGTACCAAGAATATTACTTTCTCATTTTCTGTGCCTCAAGTGGGGGATTGGGAGAAAGTAAAACGTGAAATGAGCCTTATTGATTGCTAAATGAAATACTAAACTTGTGTCTTGGCCCTGGCGAAGAGTAAGCAATTATGTGTTCCATACGCTTGGTTGGCTGTAGATCTTTAATTATAAATGTGGTGTGATATTATAAAACAAGAAGAATATTGTTGCCTTTTGCTCTGAATTTTGGTTATTGATTGATAGGTTCTGTTGAAACTTTTCTTCTGTTGAATTTGTCTGTCATGTAATTGGGTGGAATTTTGTAAATAAATGTCTTTCTCTCGACCATCAGAAGTTATTTACACCCTCAATTGGGAATTATCATTGCACAATGTAGATGATATTTCAATAGTTTTAATTCAAGCAAAAGTTTTATTTTGTTTTGTAAATAAATGTCTCTCTCGACCATCAGAAGTTATTTACACCCTCAATTGGGAATTATCATTGCACAATGTAGATGATATTTCAATAGTTTTAATTCAAGCAAAAGTTTTATTTTGAAACCATTGCCTTGCTACTAAAGTCACTAACTTGCTTATTTCCAGCTTAACCAATAAAATATTATTTATTTTAAACCTATTTGCTTGTAAATGAACTTTTTAAGCTCTAGCCATAGAAGCTCTATTTTTACTGAAGAACTGCTTTACACATTAATCCTGGAGAATATCCTTTTTTCGTACCTTGGAAGAATGAGCTGGAATTGTGTTTATTAACTTCTAATTAGCCATTAATATCCAAAACTTATCGAGCAATGATTTTTATATTTAACTGCTGTGCTTCGCTTGATGCTTCTAATGACTTCGCTTGGGAAATTAATTCTGATCCAACTTGGAATGCATCTTAAATTCATTTCTGCAGCTTGGAAATTCAGAAAAGATCAAAGGAGGCTGCTCACAGGATTGCAATGGAAGAGGATGTTGTGCTTAGGAGGTCAACTCGCGTTCGTGCCCCACCTAGGGAGAATCCTGCATTTGCCTTCCTAAAGTATGTAAACAAGTGGAAAGAACTCTGATTGTCATCTTCCCAGCTAGATGTAATAGGCGTAGTATGTATACAACTATTTACCGGCTGAAAGGAGAGAGCAGGTTAATAGATGGTTTCTTTACAGTTGAGATGATGGCTTCGTTAAGTGGGTTCAGGAGTAGCGAGTTCTTATTATCCTCTGATGAAGGGTTTATCCATTTTTGATGTGATTGAAATTTTGGATGCAAAAGGTCATCATTGCATGGATTTTTCATATTGAGGCCCACCTGATGGCACAATATGCAACACTCTTTATCCTTGTAAATGACATTCATTAGTTAGTTCAGGTCTTGGAAAAATATCATTTATCATATTGTTTAGCATTGCTCCGTATGTTGCAAAGAGAAAAACTAACGTACACGAGGGAAACGGGTTGGGATGGGCCAATACCCTAGTTCCCAACTGACTTGCGCGGTTGCACCCTCTAGTCTCTTGGAACTTAAAATTGCAAAAACGAAGAACAGAGAAATTAACATGAAATAATGTTTAAACACAATTTAGAGAAAGTCTTCAATTTGGTACAAGAAAATGTTCTTTCTGTCAAGTGAGATTATTTTCGACACCAAATGTTCTAAGAAAAAAGAACACTGGGTCACCAGAGGTTTCAAAGGACAAGTTATCTCCAACATGCAAATTACATGATCTCAACTACGGCACGACCAACAATACTTCCTCGATCAAGGTCCTTGTATGCTTGACCTGCCTCCTCAAATTTTCGTTTTTCTGAAACAGCTACATCAAGATTAAAAATGCCACTTTCTGCCAATTTGATTAACTTTGGAAGGTCTTGCCTTGCCCTGCCTCCATATGAGCCAATCACTTTAATCTGCACCATTAGTATCCAAAGAATTCAGAGGTGAAAGAAAATCAGCTGCTTTATGTTGAAGATCATTTGGACCACAGTACACCCCCTATTCAATACTTAGCAAGAAAGACAGTAAATTAAATGGAAGGAGGACAATACACACCTGTCTACGAACCAAATGGTTTATATCAACCTCTCCTTTAGCACCAGAGAGTGTAAGGCCAATCATTACAGCTTTTCCTCCATCTCGGACACTATTTACACACTGTGAAAAAGTCTGCACTCTTCCGAGGGCTTCAACAGCAATGTCTACACCCCTTCCCCCAGTTATGTCCTGGTCAAATACAAGAGTTGGGGGAATTTTGAAAAGCACATTTTACTCTTCTAGATTTGCCGTGCTTGGCTCCAAGTTAGAAATCTATTTTATGAAATATTTGAAATTTTTTGGCATGCACGATGATCCTTTAGTAAAAATGGATCAAAAGAACGAAGAAATCATTTGACATGCATTCGAGTATTTTAACTGACACAATATTCGAACTACTACAGTATAGGTCCATGAGGAAAAGCAATACTATGCTGTCAACAAATTATTCAAATCAATGTACAAGAAGATAATTAATATGGTAAAAGAAAAAAAATGATGAGCAGAAAATTCTCATCCAAAATAATGAAATTATTCTCTTCAAATGACAAGCAAAGGCATAGCTCTTTTCACAAAATTGACATTAAAGAAAAATAACATATTGACTTCAGAAGTAGGATGCAGATAAATTGCAGTCCAGATGCATCCACAGACAATATCAAGTCCAGATGCATCCACAGACAATATCAAAGATACTGTTAAATATTGAAGTCATACAAATTGGCCTAAAGTGTTGCTACTCCACTCCTCAATCCTGTGAAATGTTTTTCATCAAAAACTTCGCATATGATTGCAAATTATTCTGGTAGCTCGAATGAAAATTGAAGTGTATCTGCAATACAAGTTTAGAGTTACGGTGGAGTCTTATAGTGCAGAACATAGCTCAAGTCTCTTGACTCTTCAAGAAGAAAAAGAAAAACATGTGTACATAAACACAATTGTGTTGTGGTTGTGTTGTCCTCCAATGCTTCACATTTAGGATCATATTATGGAGAGATACAGAAATGAATTCTAAAACAAAATATGAGGAAGGTAAATAAGTTATATTATCTATAACAAGAATAACTTGTTCTCCGATGATCATGTGAGTTCAGTCTACCTTCGAAGTTGCATGACCATAGTTCCATAACATCACCTCAAAAGGATATCGAAGCACAAGCATCACAAATGAAGATTGTTGGCTCAAATAATCAAATTGGAAATGCATGCAGTAGTAGCCTCTAATAAAGATTTGGGAAATAAGGAGTCTATACTTTAATTTTTGTAACGACATCTTCCTTTCGTGCATTTATAGCGTGAGTGGCTCCAAACAATTTTGCTTTCTGAAGTTTCTCATCTTGAACATCTACTGCAATAATCTCAGAAGCCCCAAATGCCCTTGCGATCTGCAGACAACTGTTTGATGTTGTTTTATCATTATAATGATGAAAAAGGTGGAGCATCAAACTGCAACTATTACAATTCACACAGAATAAATTACATATTTTTAAAAAGAAATGTATTGAAATTCATCCTTGAGAGGACCTTCGGTTCACAAGACAATGTTAGCCGAGTACATGTCAAGGCATGTGAAAATGTATTCCAGTCCATTATAGTGATCTTGTAATTTGAAAAATTCAATACATGATATAGGCATTTTAGTGATAAGATTTTGTGATTATTCCCTCACTTCCAAAGTGGGTTGGCTACGGGTGGTGGTTTTCATCCCACCCCAGGAGCTGGAAATACGAAAGCAAGACTGGGTTACTTAAATAGTCATTTCAGCCAACTTCAACAACTTAAGCAGCAAAAAAGCTTCAAAACTTTTAGAAGAGCTACAAAATTGTGGTTCCTTTTATCCTGTCCCAGTTCCTAAAACAGGACTTGAACTCTGCAGATCTGATTGGTATGTGTTCCTTGTCGTTCATTTAGATAAACATATATTCTATTTCATGTGACTAAACTTGCAATATTGACCTAGCTTTTCTCAATTCCTAATAATCAGAAATCCGCGATACTGGGATAGCAATGAATCAGCTAGCTGGAGTAATTGATTTGACATGGGCTAGGGAGTGGTTTTACATTGTACTTCTAACTGAAGAAACTTCCTAGACGAGGAATACTTTTTCCTCAACTAAAATCCCCCAAGTAATATTTTTACGAAAGTAATTTCACAAAGAAACTATATTGACAACTTGAGAAAACCTAGCATTTTTAGTTTAAGAAAATCTTAAACATGAGTAATAGATGTGCTCCTATTTTCACAAGATCCAATTCAAGGCCTTCTACCATTGCCTGCATAAATAATTATGAAGGCAATGCAATATAGAAGTTAAATACTGCCCTATATCTTAGCTTATTACCTTGAGCCAACACCCCCAATGCCAATCACGGCAATGGAATCACCAGGACGCACCTCAGCAGCATGAGCCATGGCCCCATAGGCAGTAAAAACTGCACACCCTAAAATAGCAGACTCTGTATAGGGCAAGGAATTGGGGAGAACTGCTAATCCATGTGCAGGTACCACACAGAACTCAGCAAGACCTCCCATGCTGTACATATACACTGGCTTATCTGCACAAAAATGTATGTTGACCAAAGATGCCAACTGTATTAGGCACTTGTATATTTTCAAAATTGTATAGATATTAATTATATAACAAGAAGGATGAAGGTTCCACGGTATTGGGAAGAGTAATTACGAAATAGCTCTAGGATGCAAGTTAGACGTGACCACTTCCTCTTTCAAGCTCTTATTTACTTACCCATAAAAACACGCGTGAACAAACACACACATATTCTACATGTAATCTAGGATCCCCAGAGCAGAAGACTGGAGACGACTAGACACGTAATAACAAACATATGAAAATTTCTTCATCTTCATATCAATCAAAATGGTTCAAAGGAAGGAGACATGTTCTATCCTGACAAGTGACAACCAATACTTCAAAAAACTCTCTGCAGTACTCTAAGACTACATTATAACCAGTGATTCTTATCAACTTGATAATATTTATATAATGATACCATGTGTTCAAACAAATTGCAGAATCAATTACGCAGAAAGATTCAGGAAAAGAGCTCTCCAAGGCAAGCACATCACACTACAGGAAAATAAAAGATGCATATTTCAACAGGTTAAGTCATTAAGCAGATTGTATGCATAATTGTTGTGCAATGTTTATCTATGCTGGAGAACTTAGTCAGGAATATACCATTGTTGCGGAGAAACAGTCTTGTTTCACCATCGTAAAGTGTTCCTTTTGCTCGATTATAAGCAAAAAAAGACTCGCATAAGTCATCTTGTCCCTGTTTTCACCCAAGAAAGAAGCCGGCATGCCATCATATGGAAAAATGTTACCTCACTATCAAAGTCATGAAACTCAATTCAGATACATACACACTCAACACACTTGCCTTAGAGCAGAAGAAACAGCTACCACAAGGCATTATGAAAGCTCCAATAACATGAGATCCAACAGGAAATCTGGAAATTGAATGAAGTAATTCTTCTCCGTGTCCAAAACTATACAGAAGTAATCAAATATAACATTACAACTTATCAAACCTTTCGATGATTTTACTGTCAGTGAGCGGCCCATGTTCAATCACCTCACCAGTGATTTCATGACCCACAACACAAGGGCTGGCAAAAGGAAGTTCACCTTTGATTACGTGAAGATCGGAATGGCAAACTCCACATGCTGTATCACCAAACACATTTAACAACCACGCTCCTTTTATTAGACATTGTCACGCAATAAGAAAAATAAGAAATACATTTAATAGGGGTCAACACTGAAGATGCGCATAAGGGCGATCTCTAAAACTGATGATTACATTGCCCAACCCTACTTGACTACATTATTCCTACAAAATGCTAAAAAATCTGTAGAAGTTTATCTGGAGTAAAATATTAATTTTAAAAGGTAGTTTTGCTTTTCCAAAAATACTGTTTAGAAATTGTTATGTTAACAATTTTCCTTAATAACAAATACTGATTGAATTATTTACCAAGACATTGAATTGAATTGTATATTTATTTACTAACTTGTTAACTGCAATTTTAGTGAACAATTTACAATTGAACAGACGTATAAAACATTAAAGCACAAAAAGATGTTGACAAAAAATACACTAAAATAATACCCTTAGTTTTGATTAGAACTTCGTTGACCTTAGGGCGGGGCATGTGGAAGTCTTCGAAAGTAAGGGGCTTATTTGGCTCCCAGAACACTGCACCCCGCATGTAAGTTGGCCCGTTATTCAGATGGTACCCCGCCGCTGATATGGTTGTACCTTTAATGTCAGATTCTGAACTCGAATACGATCTCCTCCTCCAGTCATGATCGGAAGAATTGTAGGGAAGTGAACCGTAGGAAGGAAAAACCGCTGCTCTTCGGCTGCGATTGCTGCCAAGGGCCTTGCGGAGTAACAGGGAGCTTCGGTAGAATGCCATCAATTCGTGCAATCGCGATCTCCTTCGAAACTGTCAGAGTGAAGTGCGATGATAATTTGATATGATGAATAAGCATTTGTGTCAAATGAAGACGACGAGCTGGCAGTCAAATGCCTTCCAGGAGTTGCAGATGTTAATTTATTAATTTCCACCATGCTTGTTTGGCCAAGCTTAAAGTTAATTTTTGATACATTTACTTATAAGCAGTTTTCAAACCGTATATAATCAGGATGATGCTAACCTTTTTCTTTTTGATAGAGAAGTGTGGACTAAACCCCTTTTTTGGTGTTGGTTAAAATCTACTAAAATTTCAAATCAAAATCAATAATTAATTATAATTGGATATTTCATGAAAACAACAATTTTTTCAATCTTACATTTCGTCAACTTTTATCAAAATTTATTAAAAGTCTGATTTTAATCTATACCAAACAGGGACTAAATCAGTTAATCAAAACTTATTATATATATTTATTTGGTTTCAATGAGGATTAAGAGCAAAATAAAATCTTATATACTCAAAGATAAGATCAAGACATCATCCATACCTATCTATAACTTGATAGGGACATTTTGTGCGACGAAGACAAATGATATGGACATACCAATTACCCTTATTTGATGAAAGAAAATGATGAAAATGACCAACTCTGCGATAAAATGTTGAAATGATGTTGTAAGTACCAAATTTGAGACAAAAAGATGATTTGCGCAATGAGTGCAAAACGGGAAATGTTTTATGCTAATTACCTTTATGAAAATGTACGTAGATTGTTATTAACTCTATTCTTTTTTTGGGATGGATGGAGAGTTGATCAAATTAATGCTAACGGAAGTTTACTTTTAGTACTTGCTTATGAAATTAAAAAGGGCTTACAATTGCTCACCCATTTATTCAAATATTTACCCATCCATCACTTCTTTCAAATTTGTTATCCACAATTGACGAAAACAACGTCAAGTTTTTCACTTAGATTAAAAATGCACTCAACTAAGTCAACACCCTTTTGTTTAATTTGTGAAACACACTTCTTTCTAAATCTTAAAATCAAAAATCCACAAATTAAAAACAAAAGATTGCTCAAATCAGAATCTTTAATTCAATAATAATTTTTTCCATTCTCTAAAACTTACCCTTACCCAATAATTCAATAATATTTTTTTTCCCATTCTCTGTTTGAACAAGGTCTGGAGTTTCCTTTCTTTATTAATTTAAAATGATTTTTTTTTTCGTTTTCCGTGTTCAATCAGTAGATTTTGTATTAGCGAAGTCATATAACCATTACAATTTTTATCTAATAAACCACATTTAATTGCAGAAGTTCCTCAATATTTGCTCATTGTGGCAATTATTTTCTTCAACTTTTTTCATCGAATTCTTATCTTCAATTTTTCATTAGTTAATATATTTCGTTCTTGATTATGATTTGTATAAAAATATTTTGTTTTCGTACTTTGAAATGAGAAAAAAATAGTTTTTGCACTTGTTATTTATTTATTTTGTAAAAATTCGAGTCAATTTTTTGCTTTGATTTTAAATAGAAAGAAAGTTGACAAAAGGATTTGTTGTATATAATTCGGCAACTTACATGAGCTCAAAAATAATGAAATCTAGCAAGATAAGATTTTCTTTCACCCACATAATCACTTTTCAAAACACGATGCAGAAAAGTCATCGATTCTCCTGAGAGTTCACAATTGCTGTGAGAAGGCGCTTTGGTGGGATCTTCACGGATAGAAACAGAAAAATTCTGATAAATCGATAATAAAGTGGAAAATAATCTTTAAGTGATATCGTGACACGCAAATATAATTCAATCTAGCACCGTACAATGTGGTTTCCATCAGTTTATTGAAGGTCATAAAATGTCCCCAGGTTCATCTGACTAAACTCGACTTGTACAAAATACTCCATGGTTCTTTATCCTTGCTTTCATCAACATCAGTATGGATTCTGTTCGGTCGGTGAACCAGGAATGAAAGGAACAAACCCCCGTCCACCAAACACCGGTCGCATGAACGTGTCATCGAACTTACGCCAGCATCGATGCACAGTGTGAGTAGGTGTTGCTAAAAGCATGCGTAGACTAGTAGGCGGATGTTCGTCACTCATATCAGCTTCAGAGTCCTGTTGATTCCCGAGGAGTGGTATCCTCACCGACCTCGGAGTATTAGAACCAGATGATGCAGCACTGCTAGACTGTTTCGGATGTGGTAGCAGAAGTCTTATAAGGGGCTGTGTCATTAGACCACATACCTATACAAGACAGAAAAAAAAAAAATAAGGTGAGTGTGTACTGAAATGAAGAAGTGGGAGTCGAAACTAGAAGACAGGGTTCGTCACCATAGTCGAGAAAAGAACAACGGTTATAGTGCTGGTAATCATTATTGCATGAGGTCGTAGTTTAGTATGCCCAGATGTCGTGAACTGCAAAAACGCAAAAAAGTCGTAGATGAGACACTTGATCGATGAATATCAACACACAAAGAACTTGTAAAAGAAAGAAATGACGAAAAAAGAATAGCACATGGTGCTCTTATATTTGGTTTCCCGTCCTTGACGACATTCTTAATAGAATTCATACTAGGAAACACATCCAGCAGTGGCTTAGATGAAGGTTGTCCACATCAAATCTACAAGTTCACCTTATTATAAGCAAGGGCCATAGACACAGCACCCCTCATGAGTCCAGCCCACCATATTATCACCTAAAAAATGAGAAGAATGATTAATAATTGGGAATTGTGATTTAACTCTAGGGCAAGAAACTGCTTACTTGTTGCCCAAAGGTGATATGTTCATTCTGAGATTTCTTCGTCAAGTTAGTTAAGAATGATAAAGGAAACACAAAAGCTGCTCTCCCTAACAAAACTAGGCACAAAAGTGTCGAACTCACTGCAACTGAAGTCCCGGGACTGCAAAGAACCCGATTTAGAGAACATGAGAAAAAATGTACAGAAGATGGATCACTCAAATGATCTCCGAGGACAATTATTCGCTCAGATCACTAGAAATATATTCTCTAGTCTGAACGTAGTCAGTATACCTGTCACTCACAAACCTCCACTTCTCAATGTCCAAGGCATCCATGCCAACATAGAGGAAGATAAAAGTCTCGGCGACAAATGACAAAGTTGCAAAAGCATGCCTGTAAATTCATGATATATATTACTAATGCATTCATTTAGTGGCTAGTCGCAGACAGATAAATGAATTTCAATGATTCAGAATAAAATTCTAGTGTAGACATACTTTGTAGTAATTCTTGAGCTCTCTGTCACATTGTGCCAGGTGTAATGAGACATCACAATTCCGCAGAAAAATACAGTGAGAATTCCACTAAGATAGAATAGCTGCATCAAGTTGAAAGCAATTTATAGTATCCACAAAGATCTAAATATAAATTGCATGTTGCAAAAATAAAAATAAATAAATTCCAGAATTGATATATGGAATCTTACTTCTGCTAGAATATATGATAAATATGCCATGAGAATCATAAGCGCAACTTCACGATCTGTAGAGTGCCTGAATTACAGTATAAGTTCACCTCGAATTGCTATAGATATATTTGCAACAGAAGATAATGCACTGATAATAGCAAGGAGGGTAAAAAACCAGGAATGAAATAACTGAAGTTTAGATCAATGCATTTTAGACCAGAAAAGTAACATTCAAGAATTCTGATTATTCTAATTGTCCTCAAAGTTCGTTTCTATTATAAATGTAGCTTCTATATATGTCATTAAGAATTCTTCCTTTCTAACCATCCGTAAAATTTCCATTCGAAAGTGATATTTATTTCTTTTCTTAGTCCCATATATTTCTAATTCTTTCACATTACAGATGTAAACCTTCTGGTGCATAATGCTACCTATTTTTTCCATTCAAATAATCATTGTCAGCCTTTGATTTATTAAATATACTAACTTAACAGAAGAATCTCGTGCAATAAAATTGCTTACAGGAAGTCCCTTTTTGTCAATAAAGAATCAATTCTATATCACAGAAAAACCAAAACATCAAAGAATTCTAATTTTATTACCTTCCGAAGTATAACTTTTTGATTATAAAAGCGCTGAGAAGTCCAGTCTGCAGCAGAAATTAAAATGTCGTATTAGAGAGGGAATACCACAATGTAAACGCTTACGTATGAGATTAATCCTAGAAGGAAGAAGAAGAAGGGGGGGAGAGACTCTTACCAAAACCCCGAGCAGCGTGCTCGCAAGAAATAAGTACAAGAAACTTCCAATAAAGTGTAAAGCAATTGTTGGATCAATAGTTGTCAGATCAGAGTTTTGAATGGCATTGAAAAGCACCACTGAAGTAGCATCATTCACTACACCTTCTCCAAACACTAAACTGTAAAGTAGTGGCGTCTCATCTTGACTTAGCACCTGATAACATGAATCAATTATCATTTCAGAATGTGTTGTGATTTCATAAGATTGAAGTAAAAGCTTTAACATAATTTTTTGTACCTGCAATGTGCAAACAGAATCTGTTGCAGCAAATATTGCACCAATTGCTGACATGATGGAGAAGAAAGGGAAACCCAAAAAAATTTAGGCGGTGCCCCGTCTACTAAGTAAATAGGTGAAGTAAACGAAAGTTGTAAGGTAATACCAAGATAGTCACTAATATCCAGGTAGCCAATTTCCAGGTTCTTAAAGAATAACATGACACCTGAATCATACACAAGAGGTAAATAATCGAAAAAGATTGCATTTTCCATGGACATTGGATAAGCCATTAAATACTCTAACATCTTTCTCTTAAGAAAGAACACGGAAGATGCCACCTCAGTTTGTTCAAGTTGTAAGTTATCATTTATTTACATTTAATCTGTACAGTCAACCCTCCCATTTTGATAATAGGAATGAGATGATCCTCTTCCTTTTTTGTTTCTGATATATATTAACAGTTAATTTCCTTCCAAAATAATTCAACATTTATGTCAAGTCAGGATGAGTTGAAGCACACGACAACAATCCAGATTCTCCATACAATATTGGAACATATCTCTTACAACCAAAGACACAATGATATGCAATTTATAAAAAAAAAAAAGACCTATTTCGATATCTTTTGTGCATATTTCAAGAGCTTAATATGAATGCAGTCCATGTCGAGACATATAAAATGCTATGGGGTGCGAGTACCATTAAAAGCAATATCTGATTTACAAAAAGTAATAATCTGAAGCATAAAAAATTCAAGATGGTTTCGAAGGAGTCTTTAATATTCTGTGACTTGAAAAAATTGCTATAACAGAACCAAATCATAAACAATAAGTAAAATCTTCATATACACATGAACAGAAAATTTTGCAGGGGGAGGAAATTATGTGGATAAAGTAAAAAACATAAAGTACCCGTGGATATGACAGCGCATGAAATAAGTGTACCAAAAGCTCCAAACAACGTTATAGTGATGAAGTTACGGAAAAATTGTTTCTTCTTAACCTGGAACCTGCCACAGGAAGTAATAAACTTACAGATAATTTACTGGAAAAGAGTGCAACTAGTCTAAACTTCAGGCTCCCAACAAAAAAATCATATAGATTATAATACTGGAGAAATTTTTCTTAGCCATTGAGTTCGCAGATATGACAAAATTGATCGTGCTATGTCTTCATATACAAATTAGGAAATGAAAATAAAAGTGAATAAGAAATTTCCATAACTATAAACATTTCAGCAACCTTCAATCATGCCATATAGACACCATTTTGTGCAAAACAATAATGTGATTCAGCACAACCATAGGTTGTTCCATCTTGTATAATTGTGAGAGAGGTGCAGTGGTGTGGTCGAATGGGATACAAAGTAAAATGGACCTATCTAAAGATGGATAAAACACAAGGGAAATGATGAAGAAAAATTAAAACTCAATGCACTCAGACACTAAGCATGTTGGCGAAGAGGTGCTCGCAGACAAACAAAGCTATAGAGCAAGAGAATTAGATGAATCGACAGGTTTAGATACTAAGGGCTTCGTCAATGCTTCTCTCTATTAATACTTATTAACATCTTTCGTTCTTGCTAGTTATCGGTAAAAGGATCATTAACTTGTTTTCTACTAATGTGTAATCGACTATACCCACTTTGAATTCTTCATTCGAAGAGAATCCTTCTCCTCAAAATTGTTCGAATCACATACCAAGCCAAACATTCACAGTACAAGTAACAAGATTGAAGCATCTTTTAGTAGTTCATTGCAGCCAAAATCTCCTTATCTCTCCAGCATCTTGTTTCTACGTGGCAAATACACCGATTTTAAAATTTTCATTCCAATTTGTGCTCCCATTGACTGGATTTACAGACTTAGAACAAGGGAATCATAAAGGCTCCTCTGGGTACTTCAAACTGGATATACTATCAGGAGTTGGATGTGCATACTGCCATTACCATTTCCACTTTTACCCACATGATAAAAAAAAAACTACATATTAATTTCTCATATTTTTCACATTACAAGCTGCAATGCTAATAGAACATTTAAGAATGGTATTGTCACTTCAGCTAGCTGTCCCAAAGACAAATAGATTCTGCCTGATGTAAATCCCAGTTACCAACCACCCATAAGTAGCTCCGGCACATTGCTTCTGGTAGTGTTCTAAGTCTAATTAACATCATGAGGACTGAGGAAATTTCTCCACTCCGTAATTTTCCTACGAAATTTCATAATTTTAACAACAATGCTACAGGGACGGCTCAAAAAAAGGTAAAAAATAGGGTAGATACGTGTCGAAGTATGATTGGACACTTTGAAAAATTAAAGAAAAAACGGTCAACCACTTTCTGCCAAATCAGTCTGTTTCTGAATCCCTATTTTTTAGCCTGTCTGACTGGCTTTATTCTAATGTTATAATATAACCGGTTAATTTACATTAACCGATGCAAATAAACTTTGCTTTTAGAGCCCAAACTCTTGCACTATTCATTTTCGATTCCACCACCATTACTAACTGCTTGCATAGCATCAAAATTCTAATAAAGGATCAGACCTTTCAAACTTCTTCACTGAGCCTCATGTTATATGTCCATCCTCCATAGTAAAACTTTCTGTAGACACACTTCAAAATTAAATAATTGAATATCCACGGACAAAGCATTTGTTATAATGATTTAATCAAACAAGAAGCACATTAATTACTCCTGTAGACATGTGATAACAAACAAACACGCATTATCAAAGTATATTGTGGACAAGAAAATTAAACAGAGGCATCCACCTTACCCAGCATTAAATATAATAGGAGGAAGAAGATAGATGAAGAACAGATCCTCACTAAAGACCAGGAGATGTGAGCTCTTGCCCCTACTCATCAACAATATAACCACTCCAGTACATAAACCCTGCAAGGATCCACATAGACAGTACATTCTGGTATTACAAACCAAGAATAATGACAATTCGACATATGACACAAAATTCACAGTTAGCCAATGATTAGAATACAAGTCCCCGCATCAGGACTTCAACAAACCAGAAAACAAACAAGATATAAGTTTTGAATAAGTACTTTCGAAAAAAAATGAGAGTAAAACTAACTATGATAAGGGCCGTGATTGATTCGTTCATCCAACGATACCCCTCAAGCAGATGGCCAATAACAATGCATCCGCAGAGGAGGGCCACGAAGAGGTTCATCGACACAACTGATGCATGATCAGAAGTGGATAACATGTAAAGTTTTTGCACCCAAGCACCCAATTCAAACCCGTTATCCATTTTTCAGAGTATTTGAACCAAATTAATTGAAACTTTATCGTTTTTCAGAAAGAGATAATTCAGCTTCAAGTCCCGAAACTGTCAGCTTCGAAATCCATTTTTAAAACTCTGCATGAAAATAACCTTGATAGGTTGGAATACATCGAGCTAAGAAAAAACCCAATCTATTTATTTTATCCAATTTTGCAGAAGATAAAATTATTTTCTGCATGGACACTCATAAGTGTTAACAACAAAATTGATAATTCTTTTGAGGGAAATGAGAAAGCAATGTGGTTTCTCCCAGGTAAAGTTTTTTTCACAAAAACATGATAATTTCTTTGCAAGGCAGAGAAAATTGAACAAAAATTTATGAAAATTAGTTCAATCTTGCTATCAAAATTTCAAGAAACAAAAACGACTTGTCTGTCATCATCCGTGATTAGAAAGAAAAAACTCAGAAAAAGTAGGAAAAAGCAACCGTTGTTTAGGTAAAATCCAGGAAAACTGTGACCTCTATCCATATTTCTATTTATATATTGATAAAATCGGGCCATTAAATGGCGTGAAAAGTGGGGGTAACAAAAGAGAATCTGGGAAAGAGGAGTGAATTCATGTTTTGCCATTTTTTGTTCCATCTGATTTCATGGATGCTTGGATCGCCTTTAAAATATTTTCTTATACTTTACAAAACGCATAAGTTTGTCAGAAATTGAAATAATCTAAGTTTCGACTTATTCTTTTATTGAAAATTTTTTATCAAGTCTAATAAGGTAATAAAAAAGGGGACAACTATTACACCTAGGATGACAAAAAAATTCGTTCAATCCGATACTCATGGGCCCCACCCTAAATGGGAAGGGTAATACCCACTTATCTGGGTACATGTGATGAGTATGGGGCTAGGGTCTCATTACTTGAAGCGGATATGGGACAGGTACAGAAAACATAGTCCTCACCCCATTATCCGTCTCGTTTAATATTAATTTTAAATTTAAATTTTTATCAAATAAAAATAATAGATTTATCATATTTGTAAAGAGAATATAAGTTATTTTTAACAAATTGATAAAAAAATAATACTATTTACTAACTAAGAACATAAAAAATAAAAGCAAAAATAAATAAATAAATGAGGCGATAAATAAGGCAAGAGATTTGCCTGCCCCGCCTCGATCTAACCAAGTATGGATATGGGGTAAGATAACAAGAATACCTACAGGATGAAGGTGGGAATGGTCGACCCGTCCGATACCCGCTCCATTGCCATCCCTAATCACACTTGGCCTTGTTTGAAATTAATTTCCTTCTTTTTTTTTTTTTTTTTTTTTAAATCATTTTTTTTCCATTCATTTTTTTTATTTTTTTTTTTTTCTAAAATCATATTTTTTCCATTCATTTTCTTAATCTTTTCTTACTTCAACAAAACCCTATGTACATGGCTTTGCTCACAGGGGTCTTACCGACCCCTCACATGGAGTCGGCCCCACGCAGGCCCGGATGTCATAAAAAAAAACCCTAACCCCACCTCATGTGAGGGGTCGGTAAGACCCCTGTAAGGTGTTGGGTCTGTACGTCCAGCACTGTCCTTCTTACTTTTAATCATGCATTCTAAAAATTAAAATAATAATAATAATAATCATTTTTCAAAAATGAACTTCACAAAATGCAACATACCAAAGAGTGGCATATTACTCTGAATTAATTGAAATTTTAAAATAGAAATATTATTATCAAGATTTTATTATTCTTAAACTATTAAAAGTACTATCATCTTCAATATTAAATTCTAAAATTATATCTATAATAATAGTTTCGCTTTAATGAATTTATCAATAATCCATTTTTCTTGGGGTTATGAGTAAGGGAGATATTAATATTTGAATCTTTTGACTTCTCAGCCGTCAAGCAACAATCTCTAACTAACCTTTGATGAGGAGAATACTCCATTTCTGGTGGGTGCATATTAATTTAAGAAAATGGGTTAATTTCACGAACGGTCACTGAACTTATCTAAAATCTCAAAACGGTCACTGAAGTTTAAAATTTACAGAGACGATCACTGAACTTATGGCCGCTTTCACTAACGGTCACTGAAGGACCAAAACACGTAAATTGGATCCTTGAGGACCTTAAGTGTAAATTTCATCTAATTTCATTTGGTCAAATCTACCCCTGAAATTTAGAAATCAAGCATTTTCCCTCCCACTTACACCATATTCACTAACGTCGGAAATCGCCAAATTTGACCACCATGCCGCCGGAATTACTACCGGATTTTTGCACCACCAACATCTCCTCATCCCCCTCCACAATCTTATACCAACAATTAACCAGAACACATCAAAAATCAAATGAAATTCAGGTTAAAAAAATCACCCCCACGCACGGTATTACCTCCAATTTTGGCTATTCGAGATAAATTGGTGAGGACCCATATATGCATCTTATTCGCCATGATGAGTAGAAGGCAATGGTGGTGGTGCGCGACCGTAATTATTGACGCTGGCGCCGAAAATTGGGGCGAAAAGTGCGTTCTTCGCTGTCGGAGAACTGATATTAGTTATATCCTGATTGAAATTGTTTTGTGATGATATGGACCATGTACCTGTTCATCTTGGGGAGTACTAATAGCCTGTGATGGAGTTTTGGCATGGGTGATGATGGGTTGGCGGGAATTCAAAGGTAAAAACGTGCGTGGGTTGGTTTTTTGAACTTGAATTTCATTTGATTTTTGATGTGTTTTGGTTAATTGTTGGTATAGGATTGTTGAGGGGGATGAGGAAGTGTTGATGGTGTAAAAATCCAGTAGTAATTCCGACGGTATGGTGGTCAAATTCGCCAATTTTCGGCGCCAACGAAAAGTGTGTAAGTAGGAGGAATTTGGCAATTTTGGTTAGAGCGATTTGGTCCTCAAGGTTTTATTTTCAAGTGTTTTCGTCCTTTAAGTTTGAATTAAAATCATAAAGGTCCTTCAGTGATCATTAGTGAAAGCGCCCCGTAAGTTCAGTGACCATCTCTACAAGTTTTAAACTTCAGTGACCGTTTTAAGATTTTTAGGTAAGTTCAGTGACCGTTTGTGAAATTAACCCTTAAGAAAATATTTTCATGTGACAGGCGAAATATCATTTTTACCCTATAAATTATCTTTATTTGTATTTGCTATTTTTTTTTTTTTAAATAAATGCATACTCATCTTGGTGATCAAATTCTCATAAGACAAATAAAATATTGGGTGAAGACGGTGATATTTGAAATTGAGGTGAGACTATTTTCAATATGCTGCATTATTAGTAATTTAGCATACGTCCATTAATAAACTAGGTTAAGGACAAATGGAAAATTATGTTTTGTAATTACAACATTTAAACTTTAGTTGTACGTGAATACAAATATACAACTTAATAGATTTAATTCTATAAAGATACCAATCTTCATTCGTAAAATTAAGGTATAATACCAAACTAAGATTAATTTGATGATTAGATGGAGTGCAACTTGAGGTAATTTGTGCATCACAATTTTTCCACGTACCAGATCTATGTTTTAAGATTTTGGTAGTTTTTGGGAGGAAAAATTCTAGAAGAACAAGGCTCGGTGATAGGTCCTGTTGACAAGGGTTGAGGTGATAATGTTGATTTAATGTTAGTATCTTGTTAGAGGAGAAGATGTAATATGTAATATGTCAATATTGAAGACCATTTATATATATATATATATAAGAGTTAGATTCAATAAGTTCGTAGACATTTGATATTGTGTTGAATTAAAGAAATACATATAAAGAGATTGTTTACTTTTGTTCATGTATTTGTGATTCGGATGATACTAAGTCCTTGTTTGATGGAGATTAAAATCAAATTTTTAGCATATTTTGATAAAAATTGATAAATTGTGTGGTTGAAAAATCGTGAAATTCATGAAATACGTGGTTAAAATATTTCTTGAATAAACGTAAAATATTTATCTATATGGTTACCTCATAAGATTAGAGTTTGAAAAATACCAACAATTGTTTCTAGCATAAAAAAGACCCACAATGCAGAAACTTGGAATAGCCATTCTTTTGGACCAAACTACAACCATTTTGAAGTATCTTGATGGCATGTTAAGGCACAATCGATATGAAGATTTCTTTTTTGATGATAGGAAAATTGTTATCGCCAAATACCAATTATATATATATTTACTAAACAAATATACAATTAATGGTCATAGATATATAAATATAGGTCAAAATTTATTTATTGGTCACATATTATTAAATTAATTAGTGACAGATTATTTCGAGGTCATAAATTAAAATTTTTATAAATTACAGTTTATCTATCGATCACAGATTTTCGATAATAAATTATATTTCAATCACAAGTTATCAAATTTTAAGGTCACAGCGGTAATTTAAGATGTTGCATTAAAATTTATAGCTGAGAAATTTAACAACTCGTCCACTTCAACTGCTCTAGTAGCAAAAAATAAAAAAGAAAGTCAATTAAGAATAGGGCTGGGCAAATCTCCCGAACCGAACCGATCGAACCCGAATCTGAACCCGACGGTTCTTGTCAAATTAAATACCAGAATGGGTATTTGAATTGAGAATCGACGGGTACGGTTCGGTTCTCGATTCTAGACCAAGAATCGAAGAATCGAATCTTTCTAAAAAAAATTTATATTGAATAAATCAAATTATTTTAATTTTAATTTTTTCTAAACAAATTAACAAGTTAACAATTTCTAAATCCAAATTTTTTCCCCAATAATTTGTTTCATTTTTAATTTTTTAATTTTTGGCCCAATTACCCCTTTTATTGTCTCATTTTTTAGCCCAACAAAATTCAACTACTAAATAACCCTAAATACCTATACTAAAGTGCATAACGCTGTCTCGACTCTCGTTGCCTCACTGACATTCCAAAACCTATACAATCGTCGATCGACGCTGTGACCTCCGATCGAAGCTGTGACCTCTGTTAACCGAAATTTTGACCGTAGCGATCATTTAAATAAGGTAGTCTACGAGTCTCTGACATTTCAAAACCATTGAATGTGTCATTAGTTGTATTTATATAATGTTGTTATAAATGTTAAAAAATTTAATTATAGTACAGAACCGAACCGAACTGAACCGAACCCGAACGGTTTCATAATTATATTTGGACCCGACAGTTCCATTTACTAAATACCCGAAAATTTTGGTTCGGTTCGGTTCAGTTTAGAAGATAACCGAACCGACCAGCACTCATCCCTAATTAAGAATGTGTTGTGCTTCTCCCTTTAGAATAAGGATTTTTTCCTCTCGTAAACCGAACCGAACCGACCCGACCCGCGCCCACCCCTAATTAAGAATGTGTTGTGCTTCTCCCTTTTGAATAAGGATTTTTCCCTCTCGAAGGCTCCTTGAGTAGAGGTTTTCTATCTTGCATCTTTGCAGGACACTTTTCTTTCCTGTGTTCTGGAGCATTTTCTCATGGAATCAGATATTGCAAACTTGTGTGAACGATTATCTCTCACAGAACAGGAGGAAGAAGCACTAGTAATTGAAAAAGAAGAGGTGTTGATCCCAAATCGAAGTGAAAAATGTATGTTATTCAAACTATTGTTCGACAAACATTTCAACAAAGAGGCTTTTAAGAACACCAAGAAGCGATTATAGCGCCCAAACAAAGCCTTGAGAATTCGAGACATCTCCCCTAATCTGTTCCTAGCAGAATTCGATGAAAAAAGGGATAAGGAACGTGTAAAACATGATGGTCCATGGGTCTTCGACAAGCACTTGGTCTTAACCAGAGATGTTGAAGGCCTTGAGCAAATTCACCACATTTCCTTCTCCGAGGCGAATTTCTGGGTAAGAATCTATGATCTCGTTATCATGGCTCACAATTGGAAGATGGGAGAATTTATTGGACGGCAATTGGGCAAAGTAATCGAAGTGGATATTGATAAAAATGAGTTTGCACGGGGTGAATATCTTTGTATTCGAGTATGTCTTGATATTTACAAGCCCCTTCTACGTGGAAAGATGATTAGTGTCGGATCTTACAAATCATTCTGGATCTGTTTCGCCTACGAACGTCTCCTAAACTTCTGCTATCTATGCGGAATTCTTGGACACAGCCAGAAAGAATGCTCAAGATGGCAACCTTCAATGGAGGCATACTCAACTACAGATTATGCCTATGGACCCTACTTAAGGGCTGGAAATCTGGGAGATTACGGTAGACCTATTCGTGATCGTCAAATGAACTCTACGGCAGAAAATTCTCTGAAGTCAGAACCAAACTCTGGCAACCAGAATCATGGCATGAAAGTGCCAGATATGGCAAGTGACAGCACCTCAGCTGAAATTCAGGAGAAATTACGGGGAAATTATGGAAAGGAAGATAATTTGGAGATGATGGAGGCAACATATCTGGAGCAATTACCGGTACAAAATAACTCTGAAATTGCAAATAAAAAAGAAGTAATTATAGATAACAGAAGAATTTTTGATAATTTGCCAATGAATACTCCTGCTGACTTACAACCTCTATCTGAATTAACTAAGTCAAGTGAGAATTCAAATCTAGAAAATGATGCCAGCCTCACTAGACATTGGAAAAGGGTGAATAAGACGAAGGCACTCAACTCTGTTATTTCTACTCCACTTGCAAGTCTTAAGAGATCTCTAGACACATCATCTGAAAATAGCAAAACTATCCAAACCTCTAAACGACTGAAGGGCAAAGATAATTCCCATGATTGGAACTCCGACTGCAACTCCCAGATTTCGGTGGTGGCTAATACTCAGCCTCACCGATCGCTATGAAACTGTTAAACTGGAATGCACGAGGGCTTGTGAACCCTCGTGACATTCATGCTCTTTCTGAACTTATCAGAAAGGAAGATCCCGAAGTTTTGTTCTTACAAGAGATAAAACTGAACACTACAAAAATGGAATTCTGTAGAATAAAAATGAATTCTATGGCTGTTTTAACGTGGAGTCTGTGGGGGCATAGTGGAGGAATAGCAACCTTTGGAAACCGGATGTCCATCTAACTATTCTCAGCTACTCAAAAAGTCATATTGATGCTAAAATCGAATCACCCCTCAGAGCTGGTTTTTAACAGGTATCTATGGTCACCCCGATACCAATAAACGTATGGAAACCACGAATCTAATACGAAGTATGAAGAGGGACCCTTTAGAACCATGGCTTGTCTTTGGCGACTTCAATGAAATTTTATCTAACGAGGAGAAATGGGGAGGTCGTGCAAACCTCGACAACAACTAGAAAGCTTCCAGCAAATGTTTTTTGATTGTGAACTAAGAGATCTCGGGTTTAAAGGACCCCATTACACTTGGAACAATGGAAGATACGACTCGGCACAAATTTTTGAAAGGCTCGATCGTTTCACTGCAAATGCTTCCTGTTGTCGATTATTTTCAGAAGCCACGGTTACTCATGGATCCACAACATATTTAGATCACCAGCCTATTTGGGTCCAGCTTTACGGTACTCACCAAACTCCCAAAGGACCTAAACCATTTTGTTTTGAATCAATGTGGATAGGTGAAAAGGCATGCACTGATATTATACTTGATAATTGGTCTGATTCTAGCCCTCAGGGTCTGGATAACATTATGGAAAATATTAGATGTTGCAGCAATCAGCTTCAGTCTTGGAATGTATCCAAGTTTGGTAAAGTGCAAGTGCAACTCAGCAACGCCAAAACAAAGCTTGCGGAGATTCAAAGTCAGGATCCTACAACTATAAATTCAAATGATCTTCGACAGGCCACCAAAGAAGTACAAACTTGGATGGATAGAGAAGAACTTATGTGGAATAAAAGATCAAGAGCTGCTTGGCTTGAAGAGGGTGACCAGAACACTCGATTTTTCCATGCAAAAGCTTTCCAAAGAAGAAGGAAAAATACAATTACTAGGCTCCTGGATGACCAAGGCAATTGGCAAGAGGGAGAGGCATGCAACCACACAATAATCCAGTATTTTTCTGATCTGTTCACTTCTACAGGCTTGAAGAATCAAGCGCCATTTTGGAGAACATGAAGTGCAAAGTAACTCCTGAAATGAACAATGAACTGGTAAAGCCTTTTACAGCAACTGAAGTCTTCCAGGCCTTGAAAGAGATGTACCCTACTAAAGCCCCAAGTCCTGATGGTATGCCTCCTATTTTTTATCAAAAATTTTGGCCGCATATCGGTTCCTCTATTACAAATGTTGTATTACATTCCTTAAACACCAATGAGTTCTCCCAACACATAAATCACACATTTATTACACTTGTTCCCAAGATAAAAACTCCTCATAGAGTTAAGGATTTCAGACCAATTAGTCTCTGCAATGTCTTGTATAAATTGTTGTTAAAAGTTGAGGCTAACAGGATAAAAACAGCACTTCTTGCGGTGATTTTAGAAACACAATCAGCTTTCATAAAAGGGAGTCTCATTACAGACAATGTGCTTCTGGCCTATGAAGTACTTCATTTCCTACGAAAAAAGAAGAAAGGCTACATGTCTCTCAAGCTTGACATGAGCAAGGCATATGATAGAGTTGAATGGTCTTTTCTAGAGGCGGTCATGCACAAACTGGGCTTTCATGAAAAAATCATCAACTTGGTGATGGCATGTGTTACTACTCCCTCTTTCTCGATGCTCATCAATGGCTCTCCCATGGGTCGCATTATCCCATCTAGGGGGTTGAGGCAAGGGGATCCAATATCACCCTATTTATTTCTCTTATGTATTGACGGATTGACTAGCCTACTGAATGCAATGGAAAGGAATAAAATGGTGAATGGTATTCAAGTGTGTAGAGGAACTCCTAGTTTGAATCATCTTTTCTTTGCTGATGAGAGCCTAATATTCTGTGAAGCAAATGTGGAAACTAATAATCGACTACAAACTCTCCTTAGTAGCTATGAAGATGCCTCAGGTTAACAATTGTATAGAGACAAAACCTCTATGGTCTTTAGTGCAAATGTAAAGCCAGACAAGCAGCAAGAAATTATGGCCCTATGGAATGCTCCTCAAATACAGCAATATGAAAAATATCTGGGATTATCGCCTATAATTGGTAGATCCAAAAAGTAAGCCTTCTCTAAAATTAATCACAAAGTTTGGATGAAATTACAAGGTTGGAAAAGTGGTACGTTTTCCCAAGGAGGGCGAGAAATCCTCCTAAAATCAGTGGCTTTAGCAATCCCTCCTATGCTATGAGTTGCTTCAAATTACCCTCCACATTATGCACCAAAATTGAAAGGATGATGGCTAGATTTTGGTGGGGCCAAAGAAAAGAGGAACGAAAAATTCATTGGAAATCTTGGAATACAATGTGTACATCGAAATCCATAGGGGGAATGGGATTTAAGGAGTGGAGAATCTTCAACTTGGCTATGCTTGGAAAACAAGCTTGGAGGTTATTAGAACACGTTGATAGCTTAGCTCACAAAATATTCTCAGCTCATTACTTTCCTAAAGGTAACATTCTCAAAGCATCTATTGGTAGTAATCCCTCGTATGCTTGGTGTGAAATATGGGAGGCTAAAAATCTATTGCTACAAGGGGGAAGATGGGTTGTTGGAGATGGAAAAACTATACACATTCTAAATGATAACTGGATATCGGGAGTGAAAAATCTAAGCAGGGAATTGGGTATTTATTTACAAAAACATCACAACCAGCAACTTGAAAATCCAGTGGCATAATTGATTGATCCCAACTTGAAGTGGTGGAACTTGACAAAGCTTAGAACTCTATTCAATCCAAAAATTGTAGAGGCGATACTAAAATTAAACCCAAGCCCCTCGGGAGAAAAAGATTGCTGGTCGTGGGAACATGAAAAAACTGGAATTTATTCTGTTAGCAGCGCATATAGATTCTTCAAGAATTGTCTAACGCCGGACCGTGGTAACTCCTCAAATGTGGCTGAAAAAAAGAAGTTTTGGGATACTTTATGGCGTCTAAAGATATCCCCACAAGGTTAAAATTTTTGCTTGGAGAGCTTGCCAAGATAGCCTGCCCTCCAAACAAAACCTGATTCGAAGAGGAATACCTGTTGCCACCAAATGCCCTTTTTGCGACTACCAAGTAGAAGATCTATGCCATGTTCTACTTAAGTGCCCCTCTACTCACCAACTCCTAACCAACCAGTTTCCATCACTACAGAATATGAATTACCTGGGAGATTTCATGCAAGCATCTATGGATATAATGGCAAAAGACTCAAAGGATACTCTCTCGGAATTTATACTCATCAATTAGGGTTTTTGGTTTTGTTGAAACAAAATGGTTCATGACTAGTTGAACCTTCCACCACAACAAGTAATTACTACCACTTTAGCCAAAAAAACTCACTGCTGAAATAGGTCCGTCCCTCAATTACTCCCCTAGATTGCTTCTTCACAAATATAGGTGGTCCGCACCACCTAAGAAAGCATTAAAACTCAACATTGATGGCGTGCTATTTTTTGACTCAAATAAATCTAGGATTGGAATCATTTTACGAGATCAAGAAAGAGAAACAATTTTGGCTGCTAGTGGTCCTACAAACACAATCTTGGAGTCGGAACACATTGAAGCTCATGCACTGGTCAGAGACCTACAACTGTGCCTCAACCTTGGAATATCTCACTTAGTGGCGAAAAGTGATTGTTTGTTTCTTGTCAACGAAGTCAATAAGTCAAACTCGTCCTCTTCATCAATCCGATCTCAAGTTGCCGAAATAAAAGAGTTAATGCAGAGATTTCCTCAATATAACCTTCAGCACTGCAACAGACTATGTAACCAAGCAGCACACTCCCTAGCGCGACACACGTGGTCCCTTGAAGACATGATCCTCTGGTGGCATAGTGTTCCTTTATTCATTGAAAAATGTAATTTTCATTGATAAACACTATTGTACCATTTCTTAAGGTTTATTACCTTAATGAATGAAATATTTTCCCATAAAAAAATATATATATATATATAAATATAATACTTGGTCACTAGATAGTGTGTTACACACCACGCCACCAACACTACCACTATCGCCATCGTCATTTGTGACCATCCTCACTCTGTAACCGTCGCCAGTACCACAACACCACCACCACATACATCGCCACAAACACCATTATATTCTGTTCCAACAAATCACCCACCACCTCTACCTCCAATCAACGACCGCACCACCGTCGTCTACTAAAATCACCATCTCTCCCAACATTACCACACCACAGCCACTGCCCCACCAACAAAATCATCAAGTCTCCCACCGCCATTTTCCCTTTCAATACAACACAAAATTAACCCCCAACTTTAGCAACTAAAACAAAGCTGTTGCAGCGGCGTTGCAAGAGAAGCCAATCTGAGCGTCGCTCCAACCATCGTCGTTGATCTGAGCACACTACAGCGAGGTTGAGAGAGAAGCCGTGTGCAGCGATTTCATTGTTGATATGTGCAGAGCCACCACCTCTGATTTGTGCAAAGCCACACGCAGTGACAATACGCGGCTTCTTTGCACCTGTGAGTACAGCTATAGCTGCGCACGAATAAGCAGTGTTTATTGACGGCACTCTCCAAGGAGAAACGACGATTCATATGTGAGGGGTGTGGAAGAGAGAACGGAGATGAGAAGGGAGAGGTGTGCGTCGAATCTGCTTCGTGCGACGGCACTCATTGCCGCTCTGTGGCGGCGGTCTCTAGTAATAGGCGGCAATCTCTGGAAGTGGGCGGTGGCCCCGGAGGTGCAAGTTAAATAGAGAGAGTGAGAAGAGAGAATTGAATTTAAATTTTAGGGTTTATAATTGGATTGGGATGAGATAGG